CTCCACCATCTTGATCTATTTACCTACCCAAAATATATAAGGCGCTCATATAACTCAGTAGCAAAAGACATTTCTTTCAAAGAAGATAGACAAATGGCCAACAGGTATATGAGAGGATGCTCCACATCACTAATCACCAGGGATGTACAAATCAAAACCACAGAGAGATATCACCTCACACCTGTTACGATGGATATTGTTTTAAAAAATCAAAAGATAGCAAATGTTTTAAAGGATGTAGAGAAAAGGGAACCCTGGTAGCAATTGGTAGGAATGTAAAATAGTATAGCCATTATGGAAATCAGTATGGAGGTTCCTCAAAAAGTTAAAACTAGGACTACCGTATAATCCATCAATCCAACTTCTGGGTGCATATATTTAAAGGGAAAAAAAAACACTATTTCATAGAGCTATTTGTACTCCTATATTCATTACAGCATTATTCACAATAGCCATGATGTGAAAACAACCTACGTGTCCATCGACAGATGAACAGATAAAGAACATGTGGTATATAAAACAGTTCTGAAGACCGACCTATTTTATATATATGCAATATACAATGGAATATTATTGAGCTTTTAGAAAGAAGAAAACCCTGCCATTTGTGACAACATGAATGAACGCGGAAAACATTATACTCAGTGAAATAAGCAGGATATGGAAAGACAAATATTGCATGATCTCAGGAATACATTGAATCTAAAAAAAAAAAAAAAATCAAACTCATAGTAACAAAGTAGAACGGTAGTTACCAGAGGTAGGATCAGGGAAAGGGCAAACTGCAGTTACACGATCAATAAGTTCTGAATACCTAATGTACAGCATGGTGACTACAGTTAATATTGTATACATGAAATGTATTCTAAGCATGAAATTTGCTAAGAGAGCACATTTCAAGTATTCTCCCACAAAAAAAAAGTAACTATGTGAGGTGATGGATATGTTAATTTGTGTGATTGTGATAATCACTTCACAATGTAAATGGATATCAAAATATCACATTGTATAACTTAAATGTATACAATTTTTATTTGCCTATCCTACCTCAATTAGCTGGGGGTGGGGAGAAAGAACATTAAATTTGTCCTAAAATCTTAAAGCTTTTCACCAGAGAATAACTAATGAATGTTATTTTTCCCAATTGCATCTCAGCCCCTGGAA